CTCCCTTCCCCGCACGCTTCCTCTGAAAGCACTCTTCTTCCCGGGGGGCAACACCCTGCAGCCACCGCACTTCGGGAAGACGTGTGCCCGCGGTGGGAAAGGCTCGAGCGCTCATCCAGCGCCCGGCGATACAGCAGGAAGCACTTTCAGAATTCCAGGCAGCCAGGGCGGATTGCGGGCCTGTCAGCTGGGTCACACCACAGCAGGACACAAACAGCAGCTTACAAAAACCCGCGTGGCGCTCCCAAAGCTGTGATAAACCGGAAGGCCACCTAAAGCTTATTATTCCCTGCTGCAAGAGAGAATTATCAGGAAAAGCAGTTACTGGGCTGCTCGGCTTCCTCCTTCACCGAAAGCTGGTGGAGAAATCTATTCCACAAACCACAGCCTGTTTACAGCACAGGGACAGGGCTATCCTCACAAGTCATCAAGGCAGTACAGCCACGGACTGTTTCACAGACTAAAGCAACAACTTTTATAGTTGCAGCCAAAAGGATTTTTTTTTAAATGAAACCACCCCAAAAGCAAACAAAATGTTTGACAAATGAGGTAAAAAAGTCCCTTTGTTTGCCATCTCAAAATTACATGGAGTGATGCTCTAGGAATAAGTGAACTAGAATAAACCAGATGATTTTTAGGGTTTCCGGAGTAACGGTGACAGGGACAAAAATCAAACGAGCAGCACTTAAGTGCCATGGCACAAGCTGCCACAAGAAATCTACAGTGCAGAAGAAAATGCCACACGACGAATTTTGCACTTAAACTACCAGCAGAAAGACAATCTTGACCTTGGCCTCGGCGTTGGTATTTCACCTAGTTGTCCTGCAGATAACTCGTCACACCTACAGTGACTTCAGTTATGTCTGTGATCATGTGTGAGACGATGCAATATTCCTACAGCAACCGCAGTTGTTATTAATGCAAGTTTCTTGGGGAGAAATAAAACAGCAAGGGAGATATCAAGCTGTTGTTTAAAACAACTTCTTACATGACCAAAATCTTGGCCCAACTTCTTGCATACCGTACCAGTATTTTAAATAAATTTGCTTGTAAGTATTAGTATATTTCTGTTCAGGATGAAGATAAAATTTTTCATGACTCCAAGTTTAAAAACTCAGAGAGCAAAACAGTATTGGGAGTATCAACAGCTTTGAGTTTTGTTGTTTCAATTAATAATACCCTGTTACTACTACCATGCTACAAAAAGACTGGCACTGCATTCCGTGTGGAAATACAGTTTTTGTTAAACTGATGTGTCATTACCTCGCTCTCCCGCTATTTACTTGTGCAATGCCTTTTGAATTGCAACTCTTCTGGAACAGGAAAGCCCAGAGGAATCGTTACGGTTCTGTTATTTTGGCAACCTATTGTTGAGAGACCTTGGAGCAAATACAGTGTCTTTATTTTACACTGACACTACTCTGCACAGCTGTTTTGGGAGGGATCACTTTCACAGTCTCTTAGGCAGGCAACGTTATTCCACCAGTGTTAGAATTGTAACAGTACTCAAAGCACCGAAAGCCAAGCATTAGCTCCAAAGATGTACTTTATTTCTTTATAAAGCAGATTGTTTAGGCATTATTTCTTTTTGTGAACATCCACTGTATGATCAGCAGGTCCTGCTCTGAGGACATAGCTGCTTGATAATAGTCAAAGATTCCAGCACTAGACGACAAAAATACAGATGCATAGAACAAGTGCTGCTCAAGAGCCAACGGTCTAAACTGCAACCAGTTCAAACAGATGGTATGACCAAAAATACAAGTACAGCTCCAGCCCAGCCAGAACTGCATGCCCAAAAGTGGAGTCCTTTTCATTTCAAAACAAAATTTGTATTGGGCTTCCTGGAAAAACGACGACAGAAAAATCCCCAAAGCAGAACCACCACACCACGCTCCTTCCCTCTCCTTTTAAAGTAACTTTTAAACTGTCCCTTATTTCACATCAAAATCGTGCTGTGGCACACCAGTACTTTATGAAAGACAGAAAAACAATTGAACGTAGTGTGAAGTAATAGTGAGTGGTTGGTAGTGAGCATTTCACACTTTATCCCAAGACTTTTGTTCCTTTTTCAATTGTCATCCTCACCCCAGGACTTTCACTTTTATTGACAGGTGTATCTCATTCAAAATTTGCAGATTTCTCACGTTTGGTATTTGAGCTCAGTGCATTAACAAGTGCTTCTGGATGTTGTCTGTGCTCCTTGGGTACGTAACGGAGTCCCGTCACTCCAAGCAGAAACAATAATTCATATACTGTCAGCCCAACACGCAAAAATGCACAGAAGGCATGTTGATGCAGCGTGGAGAAACACTCCAACATTGTGAGTCCTCATTCTGATTTCCACGTTGTCCAATACTGATTGAGGAAAAGTGTATTTACAAGACTAGTACACAAATATTTGCATTTGGTCCTAGGCACCTGATTAGTACTGACAATCTAAACTAAAATAGAAAATTAAGTATTATTCTGGTCCATTACAGCCTTTTACTGTGACTTCTCTAAGTTGAAGGCATGATCCTCAAAAAAGGAGGAGTGCCAATACCTTCTGATAAAGTACTTTCCTACGCACCATTCAAGTCAATGAAATTACAGGATGGAAAAGCCTTCTACATAAGCAACTTACGAGAGTTATCTGACAGGGGTCTCATATCTAGATCTACAGAGACAGACAAGTAACACACATTCTTCTTACGCTCCTTTGTGGTAATGAGACTCAAAATTCACTAGATCTGAGTAGTCAGATAACATCCTAATTGCTACAAGACCCGAATTTATCATCAATGAGAGAAACTTAGCTTTAGCAAAGAGCACAAGCAGATTTGCATCTACACAGCCATAACATCCGTTTCTTTCAGCGAGCACCAAAACTAGAAGTACTACCACTAATGGCAACAAAAACTAATTAGAAGGTTTTACAAAGCTGCCAGTTTGACCAAGTTTCAGAGTTGCAACTCTTAGGCACAGACTCTGGCAGAATCTAGATTGACCTGAGTTTTCTGCTTACAGAGGAGAGGTGGTGGGAAAGAACACATTCCTATCTTATACAGAAACTTGACAACAGTCTCAAGCCAATATTCAACATCTGACAAGGTCTAGCGTAGTAAAGACAAGACAAGACATTTGGAATTAGACATATCATTTAGTAAAAAGAAACAACTGCCTCCCAAATCTGCTATACTGGGGGAAAAAAAAAAATCAAACACAAAACTGAACATATTGTACACTGTTTGTGCTTACGACCATAATTATGGAACTTGAGCAACAGTGGGAGAGATTTTTCTCACCACTACTGCAAAGGAGCTGCAAAAGCAAGTTAAATGGAATAAAAAAAATCCCTTCCAAACATTCAGCCCTCCCCACAATTATTTATTAAAACCTGTAAAGGCTTCAGGTACACTAATTTTGAAAGGGGCTCAAAAAAATTTCAGAGTCATTGAACTAAATCCAATTCAGAAAGCTGATTCTCCTAACACATAATTAAAAACCAATATTATTTAAAAAAATTATTTTTCACTTTTTCTCATCAATTTATAAAATGCAAACAGTATGCTAGAAAAGTTTGAACATAAGGGAATGCACTTTGGAAACATTATTAGAATATGTGTTCCTGTAGAATGACACTATCAAGTTTACATTACTTCTTTTCACCTGACTGGCTATATCTTGAGAATGATTCTCCCCTCTTTCCTAGGTCCATGAGAAGCTACGCTTAGAAAAGAAGAGCTCCCATACTGCCAACTTCACTCTGTTCCTTTACAAAAATTTCGAAGTACTGATAAATGATAGTGACAGCGAGCAAAATTCCAGTTCCAGACCCAATTGCCCCAAGGAAGTCTGCCAGCACAGAGAGGGCACCAATACAGAGACCACCAAATGCAGCAGCTGTAGGGATGTACCTGTAAAACACAAAATGAAAACTGAACATGTACCATTAGAGTTTGCTCAGGATATTAAGAAACATACTAGGGCTAGAGGTATATGGCATCTATGAGAAATATCCAGATTAGAAGCTTTTTTTTCCCCTCAGAAAACCAATCCCACTGAGAACCGAAAGACGACTACAGAGATAATCATAGAATCATAGAATGGTTAGGGCCGGAAGGGACCTTCAAAGGTCATCTAGTCCAACCCCCCTGCAAGGAACAGGGATATCTCCAACTAGATCAGGTTGCTCAGGGCCTTGTCCAACCTGGCCTTGAACGTCTCCAGGGATGGAGCATCCACCACCTCTCTGGGCAACCTGTTCCAGTGTTCTACCACTCTCATAGTAAAAAATTTTTTCCTAATCATGTAACCACGTGGTTAAAATGACAAGAATGGAACCAGATGAATTGAAAAAAAGTCAGTGGCAGAATACTCTCTTCTCTCATAGGTCTACCAACCCAACATAAGGAACATGCCACAGTGCCAGTATACTAGGTGAAGAAATAAAAAACTCAACCTGATAGAAGGGAAAAAAAATGCTAAGTTAAGAAAAGAAAGTATTAGAGTCTACCATGTAATTAAGCACAAAGATTAAGTTTATGGCTACTTGCTCCAGTCATTTGCAGATGACTGAAATCTATAGTTACCGTAACATATCTGTTACATGAAGGGTGCGTAGGTCCTACCCTGAAACTAGAAAACCTAGAGAGACTGACCCCTGCCTACCTCTGCATCTAGTAGATTTAAATAACAACTCATCTTAAAAGCAAGGTCTGTGTGAAAACAGTACTCAAGACGTAACAACACATTAAAGATTACAGTAAAAAATACTTATGCACCAGTTTCAAGTAGTAAAGTACACTCAAATGCTCGTTATTAACTATCCTATAAACAGTACAAAAGTGAAAAAATAGAACAAAAGGAAAATACAAACTCCAGAATTTAAAGCACGTTCTTTAATTGTAAGGCAAGAATATGCTGTACTGTGCAAGTGCAGCCATTAAGAAGAGACAATATTCTGTCTCATGCATGTAACATTGAAGCTGAAAGGAATATCTGTGTTCTAGGGTCTAGAAAATGGAAGTCAAACCGAAATTTGCTACGTGGCCCCATAACACTTTGCCTAAACAGCCTGTGAAATGTCTAGCTCACCTGTTTAGTTCATGTACCATCGAAGTTTCTCTGTGGCCTCGCATTACCATTTGTTGTTCTTTCAATTGTTTGGCAACCTGTATTGAATGCAGGAATGGAGAGTGTGAGTTTGGCGTCACTTGCCAAAGCCAGGGAACTCAGTACTACAGAAAACCAGAAGCAAGACATTTCAGTGAATGGTGGTAGTTTGTTTTTTTTTGTTCTTGGTTTTTTTTTTTTTTTTTTGGGGGGGGGGCTCTTTTTTATATTATTCATCTGAGTTTAAAACATCCAGTATTTTAACTTCAGATAGATTATAGTCACACGCACTTTTCCACATTGTCAATTATGCAAAGAATTTTCGATAATTCTAGTCCCATCGAGAAAAGGAAATCTGGAAATTGGTAGGTGCTCATACACATAATTCAATTCCTGTTTTGCCACCTACCCTTCTCTTGGTTAGGATTTAGTAGTTGTTAGCAAAACCATCCTATGAAGTGTGCGTTCCTACATTTCAGTTTCCTACTCTCAGTTGATCTATTTTATTTGTGGGGTGACATCAAAAAGGATATGACTTAAAGAATCCCTTCTTGGAACATTATTCTTAAACTGGATTTCTGCAATTGTACAGGGTTACAGAAGAGCCCTGCAAACGTTTTACTAACAACTGAGGGGAAATGAAACTCTAACAGGGGAATGTCTAAAGCTGCCTGTCACCGAATCTACGGTACTGAGGAAACACAATTTCAGAGGATTACGCTACAGGTTTTCCACTATATTGTGAACATTTAAGTAAATGATTTGGCAATTTTTATTTTTGACCTTGTTTACATGAACTTAAAATAATTTTCTTCAGTACCAGGAAAGTATATTGAAGTGTTAAAAGCTGTATGTTGGTTTATACCGAAATGAAAATCTGGCTACACATGGCTGCGAGGGCCTCCCTGCACGCCTGACAACAAGCAGCCAGATGCAAGTCCAAAACAAGAGTCCTCAAGCTGTTACAGTAACTGTGCAACTACTACATATTTGTTAAAGAACGGATTAAATCATTCCATATGGCTGCCAAACTTGATTTCCTACTCAAAAATTACACAATACAAATATACCACAATGACAACTATTTTCCATCTTGTTTTCCAATTCCAATTTCAGAAAGATATAGCAGCTGAATATCAAATATCCTGTAGCAAATGGAAATTTTGAGAAGCTAGGTTCAGGTACATTCATGCACTGCACTGTATTCTCTGTTGTAAGTGCTCTCAAGTTAGAAATAACAATCTCTAGTTAACCTTTCCCAAAAAGACGTAGATATTCAAGTTTTACCTGCAAGTTGTTAAGTGGCAATTGCCTTGCACACAGTGCACCTGTCATTTGGCACTGAAAGAGCTTCTACCTTTCATGTCACCTTGCCTCTCCTCACACTGATCAGATGTTACATTGCAATGTGCAAAGTTTCCCAATGCCAATGGCAGCAATTATTTGGGTTTTGTTATTTTTGAAAAAGTAGTAAAGAAAACAAGGGAAAAATCATCCGTTCTGCCCTTATCCTCCCTTCTTGCAAAAAACAAACAAAAATTGTTATTTTTAAAAGCTCTTTCTGATCCAGAATCAAAGTCACTGTTTACACAAATGATAAATGTTACCAACAAGATTACCAGCATATTACCTATTTCAGAAGAAAGTCATTCTTGTTCTTACAACAGCCCATTTGTTGTCATCATGTCAGCTTACGTAACTTTATCATTTTAAACTTACATCTTTGGCAGACGAGCCAGAGACTTCAATCCATGTCTTGGAGAAAAATGCACAGGAGCCCAACATAAATACAATATAAACAACTGCATGGACGGGGTCTTCTAACACGGAAGAAAAGGACTCTGGAGGTGACAGATAATAACAAAGTCCACCAACTGGATAAGCACGAGCAGGGCCTCCAGATGATGTGTCCTAGAAGGAAGTAAACAGTCATCAGCTTTCTCACAATTTCTTAGCCATTAAGCTAAGCCTGGCTTTGTATCACCTTCATGTCACTGTGTATCTTTACCACTACAGCAGTGCACAAAGATGCAACTTTACTGTGACAAGCAGTTTCTAATGTGGAAATGGAATACAGTAAGGAAAAGCAAAAATACCTAGAACAGCAAAGAACAGCCCAAGGTAAACAGAGACTTGAAATCTACACTCATAACAGCAAGTCTCATACTCTGCCATTAATTTAAATCACTAATCTAGGAGTTTTAGTGTACATGGCCACCTGCAGAAGTGTGCCTTCATGTTTAAGAGAGACCATCTCTTCAAGTACACATTTTAACAGAGCTCTTATAAAGCTGTATGCAAGATCAGAAGGAATACTCACAGACCAAGTGCCCAGCAGGCTAACCAGTAAGTTGCCACTGAAGCGAGCAGAAAGCATCTGGGAGATGACGTACAAGTTTGACACCAGGGCAGACTGGAGAATAATGGGAATGTTGGAAGTATAGAACAGCTTGATGGGGTAGGTGTTGTATTGGCCGCGGTAGCGAGCAGATTTGATAGGAAGATCCACTCTGAAGCCCTGGAAAGTTTTCAAAAGAAAGTCTCCCATTATATCTTGACAGGAACCCCTACCATAGGTCACAAATTGCAAGTGCAAGGTCTTGACAGCAACAGAAACAAAAACCTCCAATCATTTTGTGCAAGTATACATACTCCACGCAGAGGGCTATCCATGCCAACACTTATGCAAAGGGCCTGGAAGCCTGCAGGATTGTCTCAACTCATACATATAAGTAGGTATGAAAGATGTAGACATCAGAAGAAATCTGAAGTTTCAAGAAAACTGAATAGGACATCCAGGAAAAGAAACATTAAAACTACTCAAAACTTTTGATATTCTTCAGCAGTTTGCTGCAACAAACAGTAGAGACATACAGGCTTAAAGACTTCAAAGTATTTTCCAGCAAAAAGTAATAGCATTTGGGTTAGGCAATATTACATCTAAACATCCATCTGCTTTTTTTCAGAGACCAAAGCAGGTCTCAGGTCTTTTATGTGGCTACAGTAAGTGAGGAAACTGATTAAAAGAAGCTAATATTAAATGAATATCCAGACGTGCAGGTACAAAAATGAGTCTTCTGAAGGCACTAGAGAGTGAAAATATAGTTTCCTGTAAAAGGAAGCAGATTACAGAGCTAAATCCATACAAACAGTTTTATAGCCCTCTTTATTCCAACTGACCTGGAAATAAATTACGATAGCAAAGACAAAAATGGTGGCAATCAGATTCATAAGGTTGGGGAGATTCTGACGGTAAAAGGCCTCACGAAGAGCTCTGACTTTGTCTGTACGAGTAGCCAGAAGATGGAACAGAGCAATGATGGCTCCCTCAAACTCCATGCCTTGGAAAGGAAAAGAAAAGAAAAAACAAGTTAGGTATGCTGTGATTATCTCCAAACTTCAGTGCTTTGTCCCATTAGGCAGACTTCTGAACTACAGGATTCAGAATGGGATTTTTCTCCCACTCTTTTGCGTCTCGAGCACACTCTCAGAATTTTCCTACTGTCACCCTCCACATCACAGAAAAACAGGCTGGAAGGTAGTTCAGGAATCACCTGGTCCAACCTTTCTTGACAAAAGCACAGTCTAGACAAGACGGCCCAGCACTCTGTCCAGCCAAATCTTAAAAGTGTCCAATATTGGGGAATCCACCACTTCCATGGGGAAATTATTCCAATGTCTGATTGTTCTCACTGTGAAAAGTTTTCCTTTTATGTGCAATTGGAATGTCCCCAGGAGTAACTTGTACCCATTATCCCTAGTCTTTTCCATGTGAGTCCTTGTCGAAAGGGAGTCTCCACCTTCTTTGTAGCCACCCTTTAAATACTGGAACATGGTGATTAGGTCTCCCCAAAGCCTTCTTTTCTCAACAAATCCAGTTGTCTGAGCCCTTCCTCATATGGTGGGCTTATATCAGCTATGTAATTTCCCAGATTTTTTTTTAAATCCTCCTGTAGTGGCCCTGAAACTAAATCATAACTCTATGATCAAATGGGATAACTTTATTGGTCTCTAGAAACACTGACATTCATCAAGCTCTGTTCCCTCTTCCTCCTCCCCACAAAAAAAAAAAGAAAAAAAAAAAAAGAGGGAGACAACTTGCTTTCTACTATCATTCGTGGTGAGACACTAGCTCTTGTTTGTCACAGCAAATGTGACATCACTTATGTTTTCTATTATACAGCACTGTCTTGGTTAGTCATCGTCTTAGAAGCAAGAATAGCACTGTGTTTTGAATTCAGTATGGGATTTGGTAAGAGAAGAATGTTGATAACACACGGATGTTCATAGTGGATATTAAGGACTTTTCAGCTTCCCACGTTTTGCCACTGTGCAGGTGCACAATGAGCTGGGAGGGAGCATCGCTGGAGCAAAGGACTCAACTCCTAACTTGGGATTTGAGCTTAGATTTAGGATTGAAACTCAAATTGGCCAATGGAATATTCCATATCATGCAACATCATGCCCAGTATATAGATGAGGGTTGGCTTGGAAGTTTTTCTCTCTTTGGGGCTGTTGCTCTTCCAGGATTGTAGTTTCAAACTTCTCTGTTTCCAGATCATTAGCGAGGACAGGTCGGGCATTGGTCAGTGGGTGGTGGGCAATTACACTGCGCATCACTTGTTTGTACATATTATTATAACTTTTATATAATACATTAAATTATTATTATTTTTAATAATTAATAACTTGAACTTAATTTTATTTCAATTATTAAATTGTTCTTATCCCAAACCACCAATCTCCTTCCCTTTTCCCCCTTCATCCTCCTCCCCATGCCCCATGGGTGTGGAGGGTGAGCAAGCAGCTGCGAGGTGTTCAGGGGCCAGGAGGGTTCAACCACAACAAGCACTGAACAAGACCACATCCTGTCAGGTTTGGAGAATAAGGTCTTTGGAGCAAAGAGTAAGATATGCAAGGAGCAGAAAAAAACAGATTATATTTGTCAGTTAAGTTGAGCAGCAACTGTAATACAACAGCAGCCTCCCATTATCAAGTTTTAATGGAGATACTGTAGGAAATTCAAGTTCAGGAAATATCTTCTGAGATACTACAAAATTAAAAAGAAACAGCTTTGCACTTGCACCTTGCATAGGAGCAGTTGTTGTACTAACAAGATGCACTACCTGGCAAACATATAGCTAAGATGTTAGTAACAGCATTTGCCATTTAAGTTAACATTCTTAAAAAAAAAGATTTTGCCTTTTTGTACAAAATTGAAACTTTTCCGCATCTGACATTTCTATATTTTAACTGATCATTGTACTATACTACATAAAAAATGTAATGAGTTGGAATTTTAAAATAGGAGGGAGAAGCCACTTGGGTTCTCAGTTTCATTTGCTAAAACAATTCAATCCTAATGCAAGCAAAGAAAACAGACTATGCCATATTACCTCGCCCTGTGTTCACCGTAGTGGGGCTGAATGCTTTCCACACAATAGTCTCACAGATATTGGTGGCAATGAAGAGAGAGATGCCAGAGCCGAGACCATATCCCTTCTGTAGCAGCTCATCCAAGAGCAGAACTATCAATCCAGCAACAAAAAGCTACAGTAAAAAAAAAAATAAATTACAGCATTAGTCCCTTGCCTTTTAAATTTTTGTTAAAAAAACTTGTATTAAAAGATAAGGAAAGACTATATCCATGAGGAAGCTGGCACACTTCGAACTTCTTCCTCTGCATGTGGGGCAGGCAGTCTGTGAGGCTGATTTTTTGACGCTTTCAGAGGGAGAGTAAGTAGACAGTACTACAAATTACCTGAATTGTGATAAGCAAGCAGATACCAGCACCCATCTCAGATGGGTCTCCATACATTCCCGTCATTACATAGACAATAGACTGCCCGATGGTAATGATCATTCCAAACACTGTAGAATAAACAGAAAAAGTATGTGTTTGTTCTGGAGATTTATGTTAGTGGACAACGAGAGAGATATAAATCACTTCTTTGTAGAGAAAGCTGGGAGGGAACACGTAAGTCACAGGACATTGAAATTCAAGGGCAAGTTAAGTTTGTTGTCTGAAATCTGGCACTGAAAATATAAATATACACAGACACTTCAAAAACAAATACACTTAAGCAGCAAGTGGGTTTGGCCACCAAAGATTGCTTTAGATACTGAAAACACTGAGGGAGTTAAGATATTGCCTTAGCAATTTATGATTCTTTTTCCCAGTAAACAGATCAGTAAGTAGTATGATACAGCATCAAATAGCTAAAGAATACTCAAATTTTTATAAGTCATTTATCAACTGAGCACAGAGATCTCTTACAGCTGAGAAAGAACCACGCTTGAAACTGCAAGGTAACAACTACAACAAACACCTTAATCGATACCAACTTTTTTAGGTTAACACTGACCAACACAGTTCAAAGGCTGGGTCCCCACAGTCTCTATGTTGCTTAGTTTATCTGGTGAGATTACAGCAGCAATGCCAATTGCACAGATAAGCTTCAGAAAAGTTTGAAAAGTAACAGTTCACAAGCCAGAGAGCAGTCAGCAGAAGACTGATGAAATACAGAAATCCGTAGCACAACATGAACACACGGCATGACAGAAACCCACATATCTGACTGCAACATTCATCACATGGTAAGTTTACACTTCCAGTTGTTGGATACTCTAAAACAGCCTTTAACATCAGCTCTTACTCACGTTTCTGTGCTCCATTGAAGAGAGCTCTGTCCTTTGGGGTGTCACCAACTTCGATTATCTTGGCACCTGCCAAGAGCTGCATAATGAGCCCAGAAGTGACAATAGGTGAAATGCCCAGCTCCATCAACGTACCTGCCAGACACAGGAAGAACAATGAAAGAAAATAATGGGGTGTACTATACCCAGGCACCTTTGAAGTTCAAAGTTTGTTTTTTTCCACCCTTTACATCATGATGGAGAAGATATAAAACTCCAAATTTCCATAAATGTAAAAGGTTTCAATGACAACAGAAGCTTGCTAAAGGTCAGTCTGATAAGTAATGCAGTGCTTCCTAGTACCTTACACACCATGTTCGCTGAAAAAGACTTTTGCTGTCAGGGATAGATTTACTCTGCATAAAACAACATCGGTATTTGCCTTCTGCCTTTGACAATCAGTCACTTTATTATTTGCAATTTTAAACAGGAAAATCCAAACTTTTTTCAGGAGAGCACCAAGTTGCACCCATATATGCATATCTCATTATGATATAAACTCACAGAGAGCCCAAACGACACACATTCTGTGAGACAGACTCCAAGATGTCACCCAGAAAACCACAACACACGTCTGAAACACAAGCCAAAAAGTCTGAAAGATACAGAGAGACTGCAACAGCAGTGAACTGTCTCTCCTCTAACCCTTTTCTCCCCAAAATGCTCCTTAATTTTCGTACACATTATAGATTGCATATAGTCGACCATAAACTCATTTTGTCCGCAAAGTTGTGCCTTTCCAAATGCTACACTGGTTTATGATTTTACACTACATATAAAATGTCTTTTTCTTCTCTGCTCCAGTTTTTATCTTCATTAAAATAGAGTGTCATGTGAGAACATGTCCAAAACCATTTTGGTCCAAGTTAAAAAATTCCCTCTTGAAAGACTGACCATACCTCTATTTGATGCCAAAATCACTCTCATCCAGTAGAAAGGATCTGCTGAGTCTGAGGACATGATACCAAACAAGGGAATCTGCATTTCCAACCAAAAGAGGAAAAGAGGATTAAATTAGAAACTTCACAACATCCTTTAACCATTTCAGCTCTTCCTTAAAAACAAGGGAAAGAAACATACCTGGCAGCATACTAAAAAGATGAAGAGAGTGATAGCTGTCCATAGTACCTTTTCCTTAAACTGAATCTAAAGCGGAAAAGAAAAACAACAAAAAACAAAGGTGATAAAGCTGTCAAGATAACAAGACCTAGTCAATTAGGCAAACTTTCATAGTAGCTAAAGCGCAGCTGATTTGCTTGTGAAGAGACAAAGTACATAACATCCTAAAGAAAATAACTCACTCCTCATCATTTTCATACTATATAAGGCCAAGGAAAATGACTAAGCCTTATCAAAACTTCAATCCAAAAAACCAAGCTTATGCCAATGGTAGTTCATTCTAGCACTTCCACAGAAATGAGTCTTACGTTTCCACAAAAAGGAGCTTCTGGTGAGAAAAAACTAAAAATACAGAGAAGCTTATCTTAGCAAATAATGTTAGATTAGAATTTAAGAAGTAAAGATTTTCAAGTTGCTATTTTAAACTACTCTACACTCCAATATGTGCTCCTTTCAGCATCTCACCATTCACTGCTATGGGCATAACAATATCTGTACAATTGCATTTACCAGCAAATATATTCTTGTACAACCGTACCCACAGCACAGGATGTACTAGACAAGCACTCCACTAAAACCAACTGTGCCTAGAACTACCATTCTCCCAACAGGAAAAAAAAGCAAAAAAATCCCACAGACACAGGCTAAGCTGTAAACATTTTGTATTACACAAATACAGACTTTAGAAGAAAATTGTATTAACTTACCTTCCGTTCTGGCTTTTGGATTTCAGGCAAGATAACACAGAAGGGCTTGATTACTTCAAGAAATTTTACTGTAAGGAGGTTAAAAGACAAAGTGAACACACAGACACAAAGCGCACTGAGAAAAGCTCAAGCACAACTGAATTTGGACACATACTTATGTATTAAGAGTCCCAGTGAAGCAGAAAGCTTTGTTGGTTGTTTTGTTGGGTTTTTTTAAATTTAATTCTTAACTGTTCTAAATACACCTTACTCACTTAACCTCTGTATAGGTACAATATGGAATGGAAACAAGAAAAAAAAAGTGAAGTGTTTTCTCTTTTTACTGAGTAGGCTGACAGCGCAAAAAAGCCCACCTTGGCATTGTTCTGCCCAAGTTTATCAATACCCTTGAACTTTTATCTCATAATAGCGTCTCCCATAGTCTGACATTTGAGAAACGCTCAAGACAGTTTTACGTCAGGGTTTACATTTAGGCCATAGAGCTTAAGAATTCCTACACACTGTTCATAAACAACAAGTCGAGTTACTTTACGGAACATCTCATGAAAAGATCTCCTTAAGGTCAAAAGGACATATTCTTCGGTCAGAAAAGTCTCAGTCTTAGAATAAGCACACAATAGAAGATGGCATCTGCAATATCACAAGTTCTCCTATGAGCACAGGGATCTGATTTTGAACAGAATTAATGCTAAACTTGTCAAGGCAAATCTAAGGCTGCACACATATTTCGGCCTGATTGGAATTAAAAAGTGTACAAAGATGCAGAAAAACTGAAACTACTGGTGGCTTTCCTCTTATTTGTTGAAGGCAGACACTTCAGTGTCAATTTTGTAACACTTTGAAGACTAGACCATAAAAATGACTTAAATTCAACGATTAATTGCCTGAAAAGTTACACTGCATTGTGGTTTTCAACTCAAACCACATCGTGATTCTCTTCTACATCTATGGTAACACACAGATCCACTAAGACGCTTTTCAAGCAGCTCTTCCTCGAGGCAGCAGACTCTAAAGATGACCGTTCACTCGGATTACGTCTAGACTGCAGATCACTATTTACAGTTTACTCTGACACTGTCACTGATTTTTTGGCTTAAAGCGCTATCACCAATCACCAACATGACGGCGCGGTCACCACGCATCGCAGATGCAGCTCCCT